CTGGTAATGTCGCTGTGCATATATTTACCAGTATTGGATCCCAGCTGTCTGTGAGATTATTATGTGTCAATAGAACCGACAAACAATTTGAAACAGTGGATTGTGGTCTTATAAATTATTCACTTGTTTCTTTTTGAATTTTCGGCAAGTTAATTAATATCGTTACTTGCTTATCGAACAATATTCATTCGTGTTCGTATCTTAATTTAAGAGCTTCCCAAGCCAGATCGAAATTATCGTCATTTAGTGCGAACTGTTTGACCTTTTGTTTTGAATCGGTGGTGATATAATTTTGTGCATTTGATAAATTAGGATGGTTTATGTAAACGGCAGTAAACATGTCCCGGAAGGAAATTTGCCTTTATTCATAACCACCCTGAAAGATTTTTGTGTCACATGCGGGCAACTTGAGGTGGATGCGTGAACTGGATTTGTAACAGCTCTACTATCGGCTGTGGAGTAGGTGCAATTCCTTTGATTAATTTTAATTGGTCAGAAATCATTGCTTTTGTTTCTTCAAGCTGGTATAAACCGGTTTAGTATTTGGCTAAAGCGCTGGATTTGAAATTTTCCGGTAAATCTAATTCGTCAGATTCTACGATTGTGTCATATGCAGCTTGGAGACATGTCCAGAAATTTTCAAGATTTTATTTTCTGATTTCTAATACCGATTCAGAATTGTCCTGAATCGGCGAAGATGAAAATCGAGTGCAGTATATTAGGCTGTCACTCTCGGAAATAAATTTGGTGCTTCAAATATCTTTAAAAAACAAGAACGTTTTCAATTTCCGTGTATACTCGTATGTTTAACCGAAAACTCTTTTAAGTTAATAAGAGTTTTTATTTCCAATAAAAATGAGAAGAGTACGCGTATTTCGTATTTAATGATATCGCTGTGAATTAATTTTTTTTAATATTATTTTATTTAATAGTTGATTAATAAACGCAAAGGGTTTTTTTTTTATTTGGATGTATAATGTGTCCGTAAATCTTATAGGGTATACCTATAAACGGATCAGCTTATACATATGTACATATGAGACCAATGCACTTTGTACAATACATATGTATGTATGCATTAAGCTTTAATATGTTTTGCGCAATCCTGCTTGTTTTTGTTGGGAAAAGAACAAGCGGTATTGCAGATATGTGCTAATGTGGAACTAGAATATTATATATATACGCAATCCTACTTGTTTTTGTTTGACAAAGAATAAGGGATATTGCGGGATATTTGCCAATGTGGAATTTAAAGCGATAAATATACACGTATATACCAATATACGCAAATGTTAACAAATAAACCCAAAAAATTTTTTTTGTTTTATTAGATCACAAATTGTCGCCGGTTAATTTTTTTTTCTAAACGTCAATAGGGTATATAATTTTTTTTTCGATGCTTTCTCGTGTGTATGTTTGTATAAATGCGCCCGTATGATGTATACAAGTATGTTTGTTAATCCACTGCATAGTCACTTGTTACATATACATATGTATATATAATATATATATTATATTATTATGTATATATGTATCTACGTTCAGTCATTTTACAGCACTTTTAATCACTTAAGTTAGGCCACTGCACAATGGGTATTGGGTCCTTTCTTTTCGTTTTTAAATATTTAATACTCCATAGTGCTTCTCACTATGACTCGAAGGACCATGAATATTTTTTTCAGTTATACACTCACCTTTTACCACTTTAACCAAGAGGACAAACCAAAAGTTATTTAAAAGAAAGTGAGAGTAAAAGTTTTAAAATCTTATCTCAATTACCCGACGATATCCGCTTCGTTTATTAAAAAATATATAAACAAAATTAAAATTAAAATTAATATATGTATCTGCACTCGGGCGAGAAGATGTGTATTGCTGCGGTCGACGTACGTCCTGACGGCTCGAATGGTGCAAAACGAAATTGGTCTCTGGATCTTGGGCAGTCCGTTTTGAGTGTTGGGTAGTGTAGAGTTGTGGTTGGTATGTGTGGGTGGTCTGCGTGGGGTGTGATGTTTGCAGGGGTGGTGTATGTTTGTGTGTTTAAGTGAGTGGAGTCTTCTTGTGGATTGTGTTGATGTTGTGTTTTGGCGCTCAGTGGTGTGCGTTGAGGGGGAGGCGTAACTCACCTAGACACACGGCGTCAATCAAAGTCGGAAGTATAGAAAAAATCAGAATCAAGAATATTTTGGCCTGATGACTATATCCAAGTATGGGAACAAAATTATTAATATAACTTTTTCACAGGGTTAGCTTGTGCGGGTCCCCAGAACCTCAAATGTTTTCACCGATGATGTGACCAAAGAGTAGAGCGAGAGCGGCAATGCGTTGTTCGAAAAGGAAATCGAGTGGTATAAATTGTGTGGCGATCATGAAATGTTGCGTGAGATATTTTCCAATGGAGATTCCAAGGTTCGAAAACCCATAACTTACATTGTCTTGCCTCTTCTGAGCTGTATTGCCTTGCAGGGCTGTGACGTCGTGGTGCGCAACGATCATCTTTCGAAACAGGCCAATGAGTACGCCGTACTACTGTTTCAGTGTTTGGTGGACTATTATGCGAAAAATATTCCACATCAATAAGCGCATGTCCAAGTAAGAATTGCTGTAGAATGCTTAAATTAACTACTTATTTATTTACTTTGTGTATTTTTTAAGTGTGTTTTAGATGAAACTCAACACTATCCGTTTTACAGGTGTGTCATCAAATAATGTATCATTGGGTATGCGACGTGTAAAGGAAATCCTTAATATCTCCAAGAAACCAAGAACTCTCTAACAGTATTCTTACTGGTGGTGCAGCGCGGGTCGCCAAGAAAGCTACAAATGTGCTATGTCGTTTGGAGCACACCATCTTGCGAAAGGTGACGGTCAACACTGCTATTTATACGCAGAGAACTGTCATCTCAGAGGATTGTGTCTACTATGCCCGATTTCAATCCAACACGCATTCCGCTTTGTGTAGGGCATAGAGGCTGTGAGTAAATCGGTTCCTTCGTCCGTCTTTTGGTCTTGTATGAGGTAATGACAGCTTACTGAATACAAGTAAGTAAATTATATATTCTAGATGTTATAAATAATAAGAGGGCATATATTGGCATTATAATAATATATACGTATGAATAATATAATCATAGTTTTCCAATCTATTTACATATATTCTAGCTTAGATGGAGGGTTTATCTTTCTACCTCGCATTGTTATATAATTATGATTATCTTTCTTTGTTGTTCTTATATTATCAGTTTCACCGACCGAGCTACGGCTTCTAATTTATCTATTTAAGTATTTCAATTCCCTTTGGATTCTTTTGACTGTCTGTTTTCTTCATTATGTTTTTCTTGCATGACCATTTTATAGATATGCTCCCTATTTCTTCAATAAGTCGCTCTGTCTACGTCTTGAATTAAAAATGAACGAGGCTGATCGCAACTATCAACGATAACTCCCGGAAACCATACAGCCGCCGGTGTTTTCTTAAACATAATTTGTTCACGTTTTTCAACTGGCTTTAGACTCTTTGTTCGTTTATTAAACTATTTGGCAAATTTTTTACTAAATACTAAGTTTTAAAAGCTGTTTGTATTTCTCAATATCAATAACTTTTGGCCTTAGGTTATGGGAAGAAGAGGGAATTTTAAGATTTCTCGACATGAGCAACTGTGCGGGGCTTGGCATATTACCCTTAGGTGTGTTTTGATAGTTCAATATAGCAACATATGGATCTATTTGGGACTCGTTACATTTATTTAGCATTTTTTTATAGTCTAAACTGAACCTTCTGCTATTCCGTTGGAGCTAGCTAAATAGGGACTTGATGTATTTCATTCAGAGCAGAAACTTTGAATTTTTTTTGAATTATATGTTGAGCCATTATCTGTAATTAATACTTGTGGAATTCCATGTCTGGAGAAAATTGATTTTAATTTGGTTTTGACTTCGCTTGTTAAAAATCCATTAGTTAAAACCTCAATTTCAATATATAATATTTGGAGAAATAATCAACACCAAGTAAACATGTTTTACTGTTGAACTGCAAAATATCAGAACCAAGCTTTAACCACGAAACATCAACGCATTCATGGGATTTAAATCTTGTCTAAGGTTAGAATTTCGAAATTTCATGCATATTTCACAGTTAGAGACCAAATTTTATTTGTTGCACTAAACTTTGGGTACACTGTGGAATTAATATTTGTTTATTTAAAAAAAAAATCCATCAATAACACAAATTTCGTCTTTTATTTTAAAGTAAGGTACTTTTTTGTCTCCCATTGCTTTTTAGATGGTCAACCTATTTTAACTAACTCTAAACTTTTTTTTAAAAGTCTCCTCGTTTCCTCTACATATTTTAATTTAATCAACTTTTCTTGATGGAAGTGCAATTTCTGAAATTATCATATTGCAGTGCAACTTCAAATCATCATTAATTTTATTTGGTACCGTTTCCTTTACAGGAGCTCTTGATAAAGTATCAACAACTCGAGCTCTACGTCTGCTATATCGGTGAAGGTCGTGATGGGTCCACTGTGAATGACGGTCAGCTTGTCTAAAGTTCGTTGCGTCCGAAGTACGGTCAGCGTACTGTCTGATATCGTCGACGTAATCAAGGAAGGACCTCTTGACGTTCCTAGGGGAGCTCGTTATGTTCCTTAACCGGAAGCATACGGGCCTCACTGTGCAGGTGTTCTATTGGGCAAGAGGCATCCCGTGATAGTCCGGGGTGCAGTGTTTTGACAAGTCTGAAGTTTGTAAAAATGGTCGCTATGGACTTAGTGGGGAAGAGTGTCAGACTCCTTGCAGAGAAGAAGAGAGAAAGGTTGGAGAGATAGCTGTTTACTTTTACTGTAAGCACGCGGCTAATTAGGGCTGCTGAAGCTAGTTTGCTGTGATAAAGATTTATTTATAGAAGACGCATTAACTATTGTTAGAGTCGCTTAAAAGCTCTCTCCGTATACATGTTTGAAGGTTTGTTAGCAAGCTCAGACTCGGAAGAAACTTACCTTGATCTATACTTTCCACATCACTCGAAGACTCCATAGGATCTTCCTCGACTTTGCGTATCTCGTTTTCTGATGCTGGATGGTCTGCAGCATCGGCGTCCAATTTTTTCGATACCAATAAATGCCTTGACGAACTTCCACCTCTCGGCTCTTATGAGCCGCATAATCTGATCCGGCTGTTATGGTCTGGATGGTATATCCCTTTTATCTACTGCTACCTATTATGTGCCGATTATACCTCCCCTACCTTGGCTATAGCAGCTTTGTATAAAGCGACCGATTTCCCGTCGTCGCATGCAATCATTTTGATTTGGCCCTGGTACCAGCCGGCATGTGTGCATGACGGTGGCGAACCCGGGGGATCGCCCTCATTCATAACGCCATTGATAATTCGGTTTCGGGCCATATCGGCAAATTATTTTGCGGGCGTTATGCCCTTTATCGTCGCACTCTTGGCTGACGGCTTAGCCTCTTCAGCTGATCTTTGCCGTTTGGCAGCCTGTACTGGCGGTTCCAGCTTGAAATTTGGTATGACTGTCCTTGCGCAACCAATCGGTGGGATCCCGCTACGCAAATAAGGTTATCTTATTACGGAGGGCGCCAGGTATCCATCGGCTCCGTTGACCCTCGGCACGGGTCGCACGACACCTTGATCCAGCCCTTTATAGTACCCCCGACGATGGTAAGGCTCCTTATCTGTATACTGTGCTATTGAGGAACAACGAACACACAGGTGACCTTAACCAGATTCCTCACGACTACGGCCGGGGCGGACTGTTACCAGATCGTCCCTGCTTACGTCGTGAAACTGTGGTATCTATTACTATAGAAGTTAACGTGGTAATTGATCAACCAGTTTTCAGTAACCAAAGGCTAACCGAACAAATAACCTATGAATCAGTTTTCTGTAACTTATATGTAACCATAACAGTAACCAAACAAACTATTTGCAGTAACAGATGGCTAATCCAACAAATAGGAATGAAAAAGACGCTGTTAACCAAAGAATAACAGATAGTTTTCCAAAATAGTTGGCAAATTAAAGCAGTAAAATATGTGTAGTATTTCCGCAAAAGTAATGAGAGAGAGCGAATAACATAATCACACCGACGTGTAGTGAAAGAGGAGGAAAAGTTACTTTTTTCCCGAGACTAGAACAAAAATAACCTATCGAATAACTAATGCATTAATTAATGACAACCTATCGATAATTAATAATAAACCTAACTTTAACTCATCTTGTAGGGTACCTATAATGCTAGAAACAGTCACCGACGCAAAACGTAGGCCGAATAAGGTGGTACGACCTATCTTATGAAAGCGCAATGCAAATGATACTCACCCGGTTATACCCTCCCCTTATACATACCGTACGGTAGGATATCCACGAAAATTGGATTTTTCCTGTAGAAACGAATTTTTTCCTGTAGTGAGCTGATTGCTTTCTTGCAACGCAGGGTTGCACCTCTCGGTATTTTGTAGTAATTAAAAAGTAAACTTGAATATATTTGAAATATTCTTAAAAGTCACAGTCGAATACATTTATTTATAAATAGGTAGACTATTTTTAATAGCTGGGAAATGAAAATTATAAAAAAATATAACTAAAAACTAAATGTGTGCAAAATCATCTATACAAATTGATCAATGGCAACATTGGTGAAATGAAAACAAAAGAGAGCAACTGATCTTTACGTTGCCACTATGGCCATAACTTTTAAAAAATTTCTTTTGATATGGGCGGTAAAGGCGGAATGTCGATGACTGTTTCCAGCCTAAGTTATCCGGACGTTGCACGATCAAGGAATTGCTTGAAAGTTGCAACACTTTCACACTTTTTTACTACCAAACTCTCACTTTTCGAACTTGAAAGCCGTCTTGATATCAATTTTTTCATTCAAGCCGAGTGGCAAGTTAACGATCTTTTTTGAACAGCTGATCACATTTTAAAGTAAGTTTACCGTATATAAAAGCCATACAGTTCTATTGGTTACGAATCTTTTGTGTTATCGCCGAATTTACATAAAAATTAAAGTTTATGACTCAATTTCGGCTGAAACTAAAATGCATGTGGAGAATGAAAAAAAGAAAGTCAAATCTCTTCGCACAGCATACAATGCAGAGAGCAGTAAGGTGTAAAGGAGCCAAAAATGTGGATGTGGTACAGACTCCTTATATACTCCAACCGTATTTTGGTATAACGAGATGGCTTTCCTGGAGTTTTCTCTTATTAATCGGAAAACTGTGTGTTTAATTTTTCCAGATATTGTTTAATTTATATTTATCTCTTGCACCTGGAACTCAACATTTCCATATGTGGCTAAATATTGTGACAACTCGTCTCTAGCTTTGCATGCATACCTATATGTTTTGTGGTTTTGAACACCAATTGCTGAAATAATTCTACAATTAAATTTTAATCTGATTGTGGTACTTTTCCTACCGCTCTTAGTGGTGTTAAATAGTTGTGAAGCACATAACAAGACTTTAGCAAAGCGTCCGCCGTCTTGCGTTGCACCTCAATGGGTCTTTGAAAAATTCTGAACCTATGTGACTCTCGCCCGAGAGCACATTCGACTGTCATCCTTGCGACATAGACTGTAATTGAAAATTTCCTGGGGCACACTCAATTTCGAGCTTTGACTGCACAGTTTCATAAGGTGCCAGTCCAAAGCGAAAGCTTCGTCCCCAATAAAAAAATATAGGATTTTATTTCCTTCGCCGACAACAAGCTGAGTTGTATTAAAGGTGTTTCTCTTCAGAGGATGGTATAAATAAATGTCACTATAAATACTGTTGTGTGATAACTTGCCATTGCTACCTATATTCACGTGTGCAAAACAGCATGTGAAACAGCAAGAAATAGGACAACGCTAAGATATCCTTTAAAATTATAAAATTGGTAGCCTGTGTGTTCTGGGGCTTTAATTCTAACATGCTTGCCATCGATCGCACCCAATGTATGGGGGAATTGCTACAAGTTTTCAAAATCATTAGTTATTTGCTGCCATTCGCATACCGTAGTGGGCATCTGAAATCAAAATAATATAAAATTTTCAATTCAATATTGGTTGTACGTATATTAAAATTTTAATATTTTCAGGAAAAGAAAGAAAGCATGGGCTCCGACACGAACGAAATATTACTTTCCGATTCATCATATATTGAGCAATGCATTGAAGAAGCGCCATCTTCCGCAAAAAGAACAAAAACGAAAACAGTGTATTTGAAACTTTTGATGCTTATCAAACTATGGCTGATATTTAAGTTTAACAAAAAGAAAACTGGAACTATTCAAGAATATCCGAGAAGAGAAAATGCTTAGTAGAACATCAACACCGTGTTTTCAAAGGTCGAGATATTGGAAGAAGACTGCATAGTTCCGTAAGTACATATAGTCTTATGTATTTAGAATGAAATGCTTTTAATTTTCTTTACTGTGTATGCAATGCATTTGTACTTATATTTTAGTTTTGATTCAGTTATATGAATTGTTAAAGAAATATACATATGTTGAAAAAATTAAATTAATTATTTTTGTTAAAACTCTATATATCTAACCTTTATTTAAGACGGTTGAAGACTTCTTAATAAAAACTCTAAGGATTTGTAAGAGTCTCCAGTACCTAAGTACCTTAGAGTCACACACAATTTCATTCGGGGTGTAATAGCTGCTCGCATTACCGTGTCCTTTTTTTAAGCCGGTTTTGAATCTTGTTATAGAAATTAATATGTACTTTGGGTGGGCTTTAGTTTAGCATCCCACGATTTCAGGGTTAAGAGGCGTATGGTTGGATAGAGGAGATTCTCCAGATCACGAATATATATAATTATTGCCGCCGGAAACTTATAGTTTTCGAGATATTTGCATTTTAAGTTGAAAATTTCACAAAATTCATTTTACAATTTCTCGATTTATGGTTATATTTTCTTTTATATTATGCACTTATTATACACTAACTTTTCACTTCAGTGTTTCTACATATTTATTTTATATTAAATATTTAAGTATTTGCTTTAAATAAGCATTTAATTTTTACACAATTTTCGTAATATGAACAATAACAAATGGGTTCCATGTTGTCAGATAATAAGTGTTGCCATATCTATTATATATATATATATATATATAAATATATATTTTGAAAGCGAATTAAAATGAACAATAAAAGAGGATTATACCCCAAATACATGAACTATTATTTTGTTCATTCCCTTCTATTGATAAATTATGGTATTGGATTGGCCAGGGTTATTTTTTTAAAGCGCGGCCGAAGGCCTCCAGTGCGGAAAGAAGTTTGACGCGATTAAATTATGAACACCCCGGTGTTGGACCAACCAGGGTTATTTTTTTGAAGCGCGGCCGAAGGCCGCTAGAGCTGAAAGAAGTTTGACGCGATTGAATTATGAACACCCCAGTGTTGGACCGACCAGGGTTATTTTTTTGAAGCGCGGCCGAAGGCCGCCAGTGCAGAAAGGAGTTTGACGCGATTGAGTTATCAACACCCCGGTGTTGGACCGACCAAGGTTATTTTTTTGAAGCGCGGCCGAAGGCCGCCAGTGCAGAAAGAAGTTTGACGCGATTGAATTATGAACACCCCGGTGTTGGACCGACCAAGGTTATTTTTTTGAACCGCGAAGGCCGCCAGTGCAAATAAAAAATCTTTACAAAAAAAAGCAATGTTAAAGAGAATATATAACTCTCTATAAACTTCAATTTTTATTAAGGATAATTATAATAACAGTGAAGATTTTGAAAATTTGATATATGAATACATATGGCGTAAAAATATAGTAAATCAGCATCATGATCCATTTGTGAAATTATCAGATGCAATAAAACATACGCCATAAAACATTTTTCTTTTATTAAAATGGAAAATTAAGTTCATAATATTTTGTAGAGGGTGATTGGGTTTTTTATTTATTTTCATTGCTTTCATCCGTTTGGATATGGCAACACTTATTATCTGACAACATGGAACCCATTTGTTATTGTTCATATTACGAAAATTGTGTAAAAATTAAATGCTTATTTAAAGCAAATACTTAAATATTTAATATAAAATAAATATGTAGAAACACTGAAGTGAAAAGTTAGTGTATAATAAGTGCATAATATAAAAGAAAATATAACCATAAATCGAGAAATTGTAAAATGAATTTTGTGAAATTTTCAACTTAAAATGCAAATATCTCGAAAACTATAAGTTTCCGGCGGGAATAATTATATATATTCGTGATCTGGAGAATCTCCTCTATCCAACCATGCGCCTCTTAACCCTGAAATCGTGGGATGCTAAACTAAAGTTTTCCCTGTACTTTTATTATTTTGTTCTAAATCATCTAAATCTTTACTGTTTGGAGTAAGTTTTCAAACTAATTTATATAAATACGTGTAAAATTTATGATTTCACTGTCATCGCCGTCCCATACTAAACACTTTAAAAAATAACACTCCAAATCATGTTTCATCCTTTTAAATAAATACATTTAAAAACAAATTCCAAACGATGGTAATGTGTATTTACGCACCTTGTTACTAGAAACGGTTTCATCCATTTATTTTTTCTTGTACATTTTTTTTGTATCTTTTTCCATTAAATTTTTTATTTCTAGCAAACTTTTCATAGATCCTAGAATTTTTAGTTGTTTCCTTGACGACGGCATCTTTAAACCAATATTGATTTGAATTTGTTTGGTTATTCACTGAATAACATATCGGTTACCTTTTTCCTCACAAATAAAACAATTGAAATTCGCATTAAATTTTTATTTCTTTAATCATTATGATTCTATTTTTCTTTTCTATTTTTACAAACTTTTAGTAATTATTTTGGTTTAGTTTTTAAGTATTAGTATTATTATGCATATATATATTTATACAATATCAGCCTTTATACATTACACACTAAATTTTCTTAATTACAATAATTAAAAAAATTTTTTGTATATACATTAAAAAACCTTCCTTCTTACAATATTTTTATTGGCTAAAATTTATACATATTGTAACGGATTTCTCGATAAATCGTCTACCTGTAACTCACTCTTGAGTTCGATCACTGGATTGTTAAATAAAAGTCCCAATTTAATGGCTACACACTTATCTTTGTTTCTAATTCCAACAACATAACACTTATTGCTCGTTATTCGAGCTTACAACTTCTTGCTTATAGCTTGATTGCTCTTATCACGACAACACTCTAACTAGAACTGTGTTTGCTGCACAATCCGGCAGCCCTTATATAGTAAATCTGTAACAAAACATTGCTTCTAGAACATTCTGGCAACTACGAATTCGGTAACTAGTTGCTTCTGGCAGTTTATCGTTCATTCGATTTTGTTCTATCATCTATATTCGTCACACTGCCCTCCACCTAAGTCTGATCGTCCCGATTAGACATATTTGCGATACCAAACACACGCTTTTATGTCCCCCATCTCGTCTTCTAGGCTGGTGCTGACATCGTTAGCCGTCCTTCTCTGCTTGGAGTTAATTCCATCCGTTTTCCGGATACTCAGTTTCTGGTACATCCCTTGACTTAAAGCTGACTCGAGATTCCATTCTTGATCAGAACGTAACTCCATTGGAACACCGAATCTCGTTACCCACTTGTTGATGAATGCCTCCGGCTGGTTCAGTCTCTTGGTTAGGAATTGTGTATACTTGTGGCCATTCATTGAAATGGTCCTTGACTACCAAAACATGACTATTTCCTAATTTATTGGTGGGGAATGGACCATCTTCATCCACGCCTATTTTCTCAACTGGCGCACTCGAATTGTGCTGTTTCATCTGCCCATGACTCCTGGACCTTGATCCTTTAGCTACAATGTTCTCAGCATATTTCGCAATCCTTTCTATAGCTGATTGACAACCAGTCCGATAAAACCTTTGCTTCAAATGCTCCAAGGATTTCATGTCTCTCAAGTGCCCTCCTCTTGGACATTTGTACTGCACGTTAAGAACATCAGGAATTCCAACCCTTGGAACAACCATAAGTACTCGGAAGGGTTGCTTATTTTCGCTTTTGGATACTCGATGCAAGCAGCCATTAGATTAGATTAGATTAGTTTCGAGGTATGCACCGCGACCTATGGTCTATTGTGCCCTCCCCTAAGTCATATCGTATCATCTAGGCCCAGCATGTTGATAAATTCCAAAATTCTGCTGGGTGCTAGTGAGGCGATACGATCCCTGTGTGGAAACATGGATCCCAGGGCCTTGATTCTGCGTCTGCAGACTGCTGTGCAGTTCATCAGCAGATGTTCAGGGGTTTCCGGCTCTATGTCGCAGAACCGGCAGTTTGCAGAAGAGGATATGCCCATGTTAAAGAGGTGCTTCTTGAGCCTGCAATGGCCGGTGTAGAACGCTGCCAGTAGCCGGAATTTGTTTCTGGGGAGATTAATTATGGCTTTAAACCGCTTGAGGTCGTAACCCCCCAATAGCAGTCTGGCATGGTGCATGCCCTGAAGTTGTTGCCAATGTATCTCCCTGCTTGCTCTTTCCTCCCTTCGGAGGAGCTCTTTGATGGTATGAGGACCAACCGCTATGTATGGTTCCGGCCCTACCATTTTTGTAGAGGCTGCAGAGCGGGCTAATTCGTCAGCTAGTTCGTTCCCAGCTATACCCCTATGGCCAGGCACCCAAATAAGGTGTACTCGGTTTTGCTTAGATAGGCTGTTCAGCCGTTCTATACACTCCATCACTAGGAGAGATCTGACCTCATAGGCTGAGATCGCTCTTAGTGCCGCCTGACTATCGCTGAGTATAGCGATACTCTTATTGCGATAGTTGCGTTGGAGGTTTATCCCTACACACCGACTTATAGCATAGACCTCAGCTTGGAAAATGCTTGGGAAACTTCCCATGGGAATGGAGAGTTTGGTGCTTGGCCCAGCGACCCCTGCACCAATCCCCTCCTCCGTTTTCGACCCGTCGGTGTACCACTTGATGGTGCTACCCCTTAGCAGCCGGTCCAGTGAAGAGTCATTCCACTCAGATTTGCTGCCAAGGGTTACTTGAAACTTTCTGCTGAAGTTTACTACTTTGGTAATGCTATCCCTTGGGAGAAGGGCTAGTGGTATTTCCTCACTTAGCTCTTTCATCTGTTGGGATGAGATTACCTTCCCTTTGCCAGCTCCCTCTGCTGTCATTTGGAGCAGAGTTCGTTTGGCAGTCTGTTTGATTACCAGGTGTAGCGGTGAAAGTTCTAGCATGACTTCCAGTGCTGCGGTCGGACACGTTCGCATTGCTCCCGACGCGCAGATGCAGGCAAGTCTTTGCAGCTTCGACAGTTTAAGTCCTACCGAAGTCTGCGATGCTCTCGAACCCCACGATACCGCTCCATACGTGATAATCGGTCTCACGATCATGGTGTACATCCACCTGATAGTCCTTGGGGAGCACCCCCAGGATTTCCCAGCAAGTCGGTTGCACACCATGAGTGCCTTAGTAGCTTTGGTTAAGGTCTGGTTCACATGCTGATTCCATCGTAGTGTGGAATCCAGTGTGAGGCCCAGGTACTTGACCGTGCTGGCCATCTCAACCACTCTGCCGTCCAGGGATATACTCCTGAGGCCCGGCAGTGATCTCCGTCTGGTGAAGGGAATGATTGTAGTTTTAGCGGGGTTGATGCTTAAGCCAACCCCACTACACCATCCCTTTGCCAGTCCCAATCCCCTCTGAACGATATCGCAGAGTGTGTCTTCAAATTTTCCTCTAGCTAAGATAACAATGTCATCCGCATATCCCTGACAGCGGATTCCATTGCTAGTCAGCCGCTCAAGGAGATCGTCCACAACTAGGCTCCAAAGTAGGGGGGATAGCACTCCACCCTGTGGGCAGCCTCTTGTTGTTCCCAGACGAATTTTAGTTTCTCCTACTGCGGTTTCCGCCACCCTAGTGCGCAGTACGGCTGTAATCCATCTGCGCACTGGTGCTGCCACGCTCCTTTTCTCTAGTGCTCTTGACACGCTCTCGTGAGACGTGTTGTCAAAGGCACCTTCTATGTCGAGGAAGGCGCATAACACCACCTCGCCCCTATCTAACGAATTCTGGATCTCTGAGGTTAGCTGGTAC